AGGGAAAGAAGATTTGAGTCACATATTTATGATGTAAAACCTCTGACCCTATCCGTTAGTAACTCTGTGACCTAGGATAATGTATTTCGTCTCTCTACATTTATGTTTTTCTTAAATAAATCATACAAATGATAATCTCTACTTCACAGGGCTGTTTTTTGAAGGTTAAATAAATAAAGTACTTAAATGTTCAGCATAATGTTTAGAACATACTAAATATTCATAGATGATAAGTATTTTTGTTCTTCAAGAAAAGAGAGTTAATATTTCATAATACATGGCTGCTTAAAAGAATGTAATGTGATTATTTGTGTAAAACTTTTTATAGATTGCAAGGTACTACAGAAATAAAAACAGAATAATTATTTATGAAGTGTATTGATTGGTTTTATGTGGGAGGCACTGTGCTAAATGCTTACATGCATTATGTCATTCAATATTTATAATAAGCATATTAAGTTGGAACTCTTATTACCATTATTTTACAAATGAGGAAACTGAGGTTAGGAAGGATTACATGACATGTCCAAGGTTAGATAATGAGATTGCTGTGACCTAACCACTAGACCGCCAGGGAACATCAAGGTTAGACAATGACAGGCAAAGAAACCAGGGTTTTTAACCCAACTCTGACCAACTCCAAAGCCAGAGCTCTTAACTCCACTCCTGTTCTAATCTCACAAGGCTACATTTCTCTTTCCTAAATGAGGGGGAAAAGTTAGTTTTTGCAGAAACTTGCACAGGCCCTGGAATCCAGTAGGTGGTCAGTAAATATTTATTGACTTACAGATATCCATATCAATAAAATCTGTTGACACAGTAGTGATAGAAAGAAATGCAATTCAAAAAGGGGACTTCTAATTTTGTCTTTAACTTCCAGCCATGCAAGTTAGAATTAGGATGAATTAACATAAACTGAGAGTGAGAACAAGTTAAGAATTGAATCATAAATGGAAATTCTGACCCATGTTCTAGTTGCTATTGCCATCTGGAGCCCCGAAATTATCAATTAATAGTGGCTGTGGCTTGGATTTATGCTTCACTTTTCATTGTACTTACATGTGAGTCATTTTACTCAAATTGTAGAAGGAATGTGATTCCAGGCGCTGCAGAGTTGCATCTATTGACAAGTAGCTGAACATCACAAAAATATAAAACAAAGTAGAAAGTTAGTAGGGTTGTGAACTGCAAACATACTATTAATTTTGATGTAACTTCTTTGTCAGGGGCTTCCCAGGTCATGCAACATGCACAACCCTCATGGTTTCTCCCTAATTATGTTAAAATTAGTTATTACTTTTTTTAGATCCTGTCTTATCTGAAAGTTTCCCAATTCATTGGACCTATTCATCCTTCTGGTTTCATTCAACAGATACTTCCTTTAGAAGCTTTCCCCAAATTTCCTGATTAGGTTAAATTTTGCATAGTATATCCTCATGGCACCATGAACTTCTCCTTCCACTAATTATCACAATGAAACTTTGCAAGTGTTTGGATGATATGTGACTGATGTCTCATTAGAGTGCCAGTTCTCTGAAATGGGGAACTGTCTGTTTCTGATGGACACTGAATTTTGAGTACCTTTCATATTGCTTGTCATGTAGTAGACTTCCAATGAATATGGATTAAGTGAATGACAGAGTGAATGAATGAACAGGTGAGTTACTCAAAATAGCAGAAAATGAAAGACGTTAGAAAAGAATTCACCAATAAATAAGAGGCATTTTTAATGGAGTAGCTAATTGCATGAGGTCAGAGATGTAGTTACAAAGAAGATGAAGAAAAAGCCACATTTCTCTAGTGGAACATTCCATAAGGTGGTGACTACATATTCTCTCAAGACTTCTCTTCTTGATTTTGAGAGGCTGAAAACTCAATATTTATTTTGAACTTTGTAATTGAAAGGCAACACAAATAAAAGTTTTAAGTACTAAAAAGGAGAAAAGAGAAACTTCTAAATACAACTTGTCAAGAATACATAAGGGATGATGTTTCAAAACATCTCCTAAATTCTATCTTGTAATAAGAATGACTAATGCAGCCAAATTCAATGACTGCTTTTTATTGAGAGGCATTTCTATGACATTTGGGAAAATTAATGATTAACAGACGGTGTCCACCTGTGGCCGTACGGTGTCCACCTGTGGCCGTAGCAGAGCTTCTCAACCCTGGCCATACAACTGAACTATTTGGGAGGCTTTTAAAACATAAGATGTCCAAGACTCAGTCCAGAATAATTAATTCAGAGTATTTAAGGGATGGGGCAAACATTTTTATATTTAAAAAGCTTCCCAGATGATTCTAATGTGCAGGCAGGGTTAAGAACCACTGGCCTATAGTTTGAATTGAATCTGCCAGTAAAATATTTTCATTAATACAATTTTTATAAGAGGAGTGCTGACTGTTCCATTTGAGTGTTTTTCTCATGGGTATTGTGTGTATTCTAAAGGTCCTGTGCTTTCTGTTTTGAATTATCTATTCTCTAAACGATTATCCTTTGATTTATCAGGTCTCCCAAGTCACTGCCACTTGTGGATAACATTACATAAATTATTTTGATCCAAATATCATATCTTTAACATAGAGGAAACCATTGAAGATGTTGAAAAGAATTAATTTATTGTGTAGAGATTGTGGGGATTTATAATGGATGAAGCTGAGCCATCTGAAGGACAAGATTAATTTTGAAGGCTGCAAACTTGTTTTCCTAACTTTGCATCATATCCACTGCTCCAAATTTTCTCCTGAATTTCTTAGTTTAGGAGGTGCAAAGCTTTCTTAAGGTTTTAGTAATTCAGCACATGTCATAATCACTGAAGTTCCAATTTCTCCAACTGAATGATACCTCCTTAGAGGACTCTTATAGCTTGGCTGCAAAGACAACATATAGGAACCGTTTATTCAGTGGGATGAGAGCAGTGATTCCCTACTTGCTTATCCCATTTTTATAATCAGGAAAAATCAGATCCCACATCTTCCTCATATTTCTTCTAAGCAGGCAAGTCTCATGTAATAACTAGAGTAACCATATCATTAATCATCCAAAATAGGATATTTTTATGAGTTAATACAGGGTGCTATTAATAATTATGCCAGAACAATAGGTGGGAATTTGTACTGTTCCAGGCAAAGCTACCTGGTGATCTCTTGCCCCGTAGATGTGACAGCTCCCTAGCTATTATTTAGGTATGTGTGTATGCTTTCATTCAACAAATATCTATTAAACATTCACTATATGTCAGTAAATGAGCATTGACCATTCAGACCTCTTCCCTAGCTTCAAGGAACTCACAGTAGTGGGAGATACAGACAGATAAATGGGATTAACATGTAGAGTGATAAATTCTTTGATGGGGTTCAGGGCACACTTAACCCAGACTGGAGCATCTAAACATAGTCTCCCTGGAAGAGTCCTCATCAGGACCTTCAAATCTGCCTGGATGTCCTGAATATCCCAGTCAAACTTCCTTCTTTTATTGCCCATCATTTTATTTCAAACCTTCTTAAATTTCTAACTCTGCCCTTTCTACCCAAATATTAGTAGATAATCTTTTTAATAATTTGTAGAAAATATTGAAACCTTGAGATGAGAATTCCTTGAATCCCCCTCTAATAAGCCTATTAATTTACCTGCACCTGCCCCATCTCTAACTACTATTTCTTTTTACAGTACAAAAGGTGCCCATCTTCCTGTAAAAGGTCAATCCCTCTATTTGCACCCCATTCCCTCCTGCCTTCTTAGGGACCTCATGTTCTTAAAATTGTTCTTTCTTCAGTTTTTTTTTTAAGCCTCTCCTTCTCTTTGATGCCTTTCCCTGGTCCCAGTTACTTCTACCTGTTTATGACTCTCAAGTCTTAATCTCTACCCAAATCTCTCCTGAGTGCCCCTACATACCCAGAATTTCCAGCTCTCCTTAGCCTACTTTGATTTTTTTCCTTTTTTCCATATCCATATTCCCTTCTGTATTAATATATTTATTTATTATGTTTTTGGTTCCATGCCTATTTCTTTTCGTTCAAATGTGAACTCCACAGGGGCATGGTTCTTTGTGCATTTGTTCCCTGATGTATCCCTATCTCTTGGAAAAATGATTGATATATACCAGGGACTGAATAAATATTTCTTGAATGAATTAATAAAAGAATTTTATCCTGATATCTATTAGACATAGCTGCTTGATGCCTCAAAGGCACCTCAAATGCCACAGGCCCCAAATTGAATTCCTAACTTACCCCCTGTCCCTCCATAGCAAATGCACAGAAAACTTCTCTACCTTGGCAGACGTGCTCATCAACCGCACAGGTGTCCTAGTCGGAAATGTCACTGAAATTCTCCATCTCTTTCCCCCTTCAAAATCAACCAACTTTTAAGTTTGTCAGTTCTCCCTATTTCTCAAACCTGGCCACTTTTTCTTTATTCCCACTCAGCCTTCACCATTCAACCTGCCGTCCCCTCTCCCCAGGCACTGCATCGACCTCCTCACTAACTACCTGTCTCCAGCCTTGCTCCACTTCCACCACTTTTCCACAGCCCAGCCAGGGAATGTTTCTAAAACATCTGATCTGTCACTTCCCTGCTTATAATCGTTCTGTGGCTTGGTCCTTAGGGAAGATTTCAAACTCCTTCAAATGATTCGCAAGGCCCTGTACTCACTTCCCTCCCAGTTTTATTTTTCTCTACTGTCCCCACTCCCAGCCTAAGCTCCAGCCTCAACAAACTTATTTTTAACTTCACTGACATCCCTTTTCTCTTCTGCTTGGAACTATCTTTCCATCTTTTGTTTTTTGGCCAGATAATACATATTGCAAATTAGGCACCATTTCCTCCAGGAAGCCTTCCCTGACCTCACCCCATATCCAGGTAACAGACCTCTCATATGAGTTCCCAGGTCACCCTAGAACTGACCCCATCATGACACCTATCACTCTCTTAGGAAGGAAACTGGAGCTCCATAAGTATTGTCTACTGTTGTATGTGACACATCTAGCAAAGCGCCAGGCACAAAGTATGGCTCAATAAATATTCATTGAATGAATGAATGAATGAATGTAGCCAAGTAGAGACACCAAATAGGCAATTGTATAGGGGAGATCAGGGAAAAGGAAGAGCTAAAGGGGAATTTGAGGCTTTTAGCTTTCAGACCACTAAATGGTGCTGCTGTTAAAAGAAGGAGTAGAGAGGGAACAGATTAGGAGGAAGATGACGAGTTTATTTTGGATATGTTGTTTGAAGTGTCTGTGGGACATCAGGGTGACACTATTTGGAAGGAAGTTTGTAATACAGGCCTGAACTGCAGGAACAAGTCAGGGCTAGAGATACTCATTTAGGAATTCGTTGTATTAGGTAATAGTGAAGCCAAAGGAATGGGAGTTTTCATTCAAGGTGTGGAGGGTATAAAGGAATTAGGACAAAATAAACAAAGAACTGGTATGTAAGTAACTGAATGAAATGAAATGAAATGAAATAGGATCCAGGAGAGGAAACTGAGGAAGAGTAGCCAGGGTAAGATGTTAAAAAGAGGGAGAGAACAACAGCAGGGAAACCAAAGGAGGCAAGAATTTGAAAAAGGAAGGGCTGGTAGAAAAAGAAAAAACTGCAGAGATGTTCAGCTGGGATGGTTTCTCAGTCTCCGCACTATTGACATTTTGGACTAGATAATGCTTTGTTGGAGGTCGGGGGGGCATCCTATGCCTTGTAGGCTGTTGAGCAGATCCTTCACCTCTACCCCTTAGATGACAGTAGCACCCTTGTCTCCAGCTGTAACAACCTAAAACATCAAACGCCCCTGACATGACACAATGGACACTCAATAAATGGTCATGAAATGAGTAAATTTAGCCAGAGACCACACAGGCTGGTGGTATTGTCATTGGTAGGCCTGGATTATCTACATTGCTTGTCAGAATCAACTAAATGAAATAAAGACCTGGCTCATTTCAGACACATACACTCTTTGTCAATGCAACATGGAACCCCTTTTTCTCCTCACTCTTGAGTGTATAGCAATTCAGTTTTCTACGATTTCAAATTTTCAAATTAATTTTAGTTATTTTTTAAAGTGAGAAGTCTGAAATCACTGGCTACATTTATGACAAAATGTAAACATTTGTACTAGTGGTGAAAAGAAAATCAAGAATTGGTAACTGGGATAGATAGATTAGAGACAGATATATAGATCTGTTTATGGGAGAGATTCCTGGCTAAGGTTTTGCCACATCTCAAAATATATTGAAATACATCAAGAATTATTAAATTCTTAAGGCCAAAGGAATTTAAATTTACTTTAGGTTTAAAAAATCATTTAGGAATTAGGAAATAAAGATGTAGCCAAATCAAATAAACATCTTGTACATAAACTTCAGGTATATTGGAAATGTAAAATGTTATTGACTTATGCAAGTGCGATATATAACAAGTATTTTTCTTGATAGGACACATTTAGAAAACAACACGTCACAATTGCAAGCTTCTCTTTATATTAAAAAAAATTGACTTACATCCTGGAAATATTGGGCAGATTTGAAAATGCATGACTGGGAATGGTTTTCAGATGAGTCTCTATAAACTTCCTATGAAAATAACAGTTACACAATTAGAGTTTAAGTCATTAGACTTTTCTAGTAACCCACCTTAATTATACAGAACACATTATTAGAAGCACGACAATCCTTACAATGTATATTTTATCATACATAAGCAAGAAAACAATTTTTTCCCCAACAAAACAAGAATTGAGAGTGAGAATCAAATGCAGACAATAAATCTTCAAACTTTGCCTTTGAATTATCAGTGAACTAGTATGCCTTGTATAACATCATATTTAATTTGTTAATGGAAGGGCAACATAATATATTCATAAGTTTATTAGGACTACTGAATTCATGGTCAATGGAAATATCTTGAAATGCCACCAGAGTATGTATTAAGAGGATTAAATGCATTTGATATATCTTAAAGATTAAAAATAGTGGTATGATTATAATCTTTTTGCCCAAGCAAAGGTCTCTTCAACCATTACCTTGATCTTATCGTCAACTTGCTGCACTTTGGAAATAAATGACTGACAAGGAGCTAATTCTTCTCAGGATCATGATGTGTTTGTTGCATATGTGACCAAAAGGTTGTGCCTTTTCTTCCAGTTTGCTTTTTTGTTACTTTTCAGAAGGCTGCGAGTGGTTTCCTTACTCAATGAGACCTCTTTATGCATTCCAGTATGTCTCTCCACCTTGATCCTCCATTTTTTATTGTCTTTCTTTGTTATAGCAACTGCTTGAATAGAATTCTGTATGGAGAAAGGTGTACTTACTGTTCTAGCTGGCTGTGCAAAAAGCCAATGCCTCACCATGCTTATCCTCTTTTCCGTGGGTCTGTTTTTGCCATTTAAATGTTGGTAATTACACATTGTTCATTTGCTACCTTTTTAAAAGACATCATACTGAGATTGTGTATTTTTCCTTCTAGGCTGCAGGGTTTTTTCTCAGTAATCTATTGCCTTGATCTATGTACTCTTTGAACTACTAATTTTTGCAGTGATTGAAATATATTTAGAATTTCTGGTTTCTGGTTCTGCATGACTGGAGCCTGGAGGTCACCCCTCCCTCCTAACAGTAAGCAAAAAGTTGAACAGACTGAAAAATCAACAACTCTTCTTGGATCTGTGGGACAGGGGAAGACATAGGGCAAACCACTGTCCTCAGGACTGGAGAGACAGGTAAATACAAGGAGTCCCTACTTCCCAGAGCAGAGACTCATGAGCAAAGACTATAAGGGGGAACCAGTGCCAGGGTAGGGTAGGAAAACCTGAGCTGTGATTCACCAATTGCCAGAGTTGCAGTGCAGACAACTCTGAGAGTTGGAAATTCTAGGAGAACCTAGTCACAGGCGGACCTCCACAATTTTGTGAGATTTACCTCCAGGAGTTCCACAAGGTTCTAAGAGTAAACACTAGGCAAAAATCCCTTTGTGCTTCTGTCAAAGGGAGGGAAAAGGAACCATCTGGAAATACAGTTGACCCTTTAACAATGGAGGGGTTGGTTAGGGGCACCAATGCCCACACAGTCGGAAATCCACGTATAACTTTATAGTTGGCCTTCAGTATCTACAGTTCTGCATGATTCAACCAACCACTGCTGGATCAAGTAGTATTGTAGTATTTACTACTGAAGAAAATCCACAAATGAGTGGACCCATGCAGTTCAAAGCCATGTTGTTCAAGGGCCAACTGTACATCAGAACACTCTGTTCTTTTTTTTTTTTTTTTTTTT